CCCCCCCCCCCCCCCCCCCCCTTCAGATCCCATTTCCCACCCCGGGAAGGCCCCAACAACGTGTCGTACGCCCATATGACTGTCTGGGGGCCCGTGCGTACGGTCGTACGACCGTTCGTACTCCCCGTATCTGTACGGGGGGACACACAGTACTCGTTCAGATCTGGTTGAAACAGAAGCACACTCTTTTCTGGAAATGACTGGGGTTGCATAGCTCCCCTTTTTTGAAGGTGCCCAGAATGTCTTCTCTGGTTTGAACTTATTTATGATCATGCTGGGAAGAGATTGAAAACAAACATACCCCTGCAGAACTAAGAGCTGGCTAACGGTATCCCATTGTGAGACTCTTTCTGATCCTCCAATCATCAGGACCGATTCATATGCTTTATCTCATTAAAAATCCATGCTTCTTCGGGGTACCGTCAAGAAAGCATAGGGATCAGGCAAGAAAGGGGGTGTGACAGACACTGCGAACACAAATACCCTGCTGGTCGCTGAGGACCTCGGAAGTGGGCGCAGCGAGTGACAGGCGTTTTAGCCCTTGGCTTCAGCGAACAGCAGGCGACCCCTCCCCGCGTTTCCTCATGCCGGTACTTCGGCATTTTCTTGTGGCGGGGGGAGTGGTGGTTCCGCGCGGCTATGCACATGGCACCGCCGTGCCGCTATGGCTAAACCCTAAGACTGCGTCCTCCCTCCTCCAATGAACTTTTTTTTTTTTTTTTTCCCCGCTGCAACCGAAAGGAAAAAGAGAAGAATCTGGCCTTTATCTCGCGCGCCCCTAAGGGAATCCCTCAGTTTTGGGCAGATACTCATGAAGAGGGCCGAGGTCCCACTAGCAAGAAGGATAGGATAGTGCTCCTGAATCTGGAAGTGTTTTATGCAGAGATGCAGAAGACCAGTTACAATATCGATCTCCTGCACATCTCCATAACCTCGTCCACATTCCGGCATTCAATCCTATCCTCTTTGCTAGTGGGACCACGCCCCAGGAAGGACTGTAAAGACGTTTTTTCCCATCTCCGTTGTTGCAAGAGAAAAAAAAAAAAATTCTCGGCAGTATCTGATTGACTCCCCGTGAGAAACGGGGGGCATTGAAGTGCTGTCACCAACGCCACATCAGGCAGTCTCAGGCCTGCACGAGTGGAAACTAGTGAGCTCGCCAAAAAAAAAAAAAAAAAAAAAAAAACTAGTGAGCTCCAGCCCGTTTCGTTCCTCCTTCTGGCAGCAGGTCCCAGTGCCAGCCCACAAATGTTTGAAACCGATTTGCCCCAACTACAGGCTCGGAAACAAACGGCGCGCAGGTCGATTTCAGGCTCGGCATCGATAGCTGAGCGAAGTACTGGTGATTTTAAAACTCAAAACAAAGGCAAAACGGGAGAATCAAATGCTGCTGAAAGGGAAAAAAAAAAAAAAAAAATGGTGCTGAAAGCGTTTCCCCCCCCCATTTCCCAGAAAACGATGAATGATCAAAATGCTCCTGAAACGTTTTGTCCCCGAAAAGCAAAACAAAAAAATACAAACGTTTTGTCCGTATTTTCTAAACGGTAAAATGGAGAACACAACAATCCTCAGTGAAAGGCTCCGCACGCTACGCAACGTCGGGGACAGGGACTCGCTACCGTAGAACATGAAATGCACGGAGACAGTACTTCTGGCTTGGTGCATTCACAGAAACAAGTTTGGGGCTGCACAGCCAAACACAGTGTGAACACTCTCTCAGTCAGCCTGTTCTCCCACAGATGTCAGGTTGTCCTCCCACAGAAGGTCATCGCTCATTTAATGGACGTGGTTGCGGTCAGAATCCGTCAGATGCCTCCACGTGCGACCGGAAATGCGTTGAGATACATTTCTGATAGAGCTGGCGTTGAGAAAATTACGCCCTCAGACTGGAGTAGGAGCAGAAACAAACAGTGGGACCTCCGCAAGAGAATCGCACAGCACGGGCGCTTGGCTGTACCCACTGCACTGGAAATGAAAAACGGGCAGATCTCCCTACAGGTAGGTAGCACCTCCGCCGACGGCCGGCTCGCAGAGTGGCTGATCTATAGAAGCCTCTGCGATTTATAGAAGCCTGATAGCAGAAGGCAGCGCAGGGGATGGACGACCGAGGACAAGGCCAAGAGGTGGGGAGTCTGGCCACGAGGACATCCGGCTACTACTGATGATCTTCTCTTGTTGTTCACTTCACTTGCTACCTACCAGCCTCTTCGTCCATCTTCACCCCATCTCTCGAGTTGGTTGCTCGCTTACGATCTTGAAGTTCGTCGTCATCACCCTCCACCTGCGACTGAAAAAAAGAGGCCGACTTTCCACCAATGTCTATCACCGCCTCGTCTGTGAGCACGATCTGATGACACGTAGGCTGGCAGAAATCGGTGTAGTGCCACACGCAAGTACTGGCACACGGCATGCTCACCAAGTGCTCGGCGCGGAGCACTGGCACATGCAAGCACTCACGGCATGCTCACCTTGACGATTCCGTTGGATGTGTCTTGGCAGAGTGTACTTTTCAGAAGGGCAGACTCGATCCCCCGTCGGTAGCTAGTTTCGTGCGCACCAATTTCCACTCTATTCTTCGTAAGCATTTGCAAGAAGAGCGTCCAAGGACACCCATCCGCACAGAAACCTTGGTTGTCTTAGCTTATGCAGTGTCCACCCCACCTCACGTCTCTCAACGAGTTAGCGTTGCTAGCAGCTGGCGGTTTGTGCTTCTGCATCATCCGGTTATCATCATCATCATCATCATCATCACGATCATCGTCATTATTGGACGTTTATGCTTTTGAATCGTCGGTTAAGTAGCATCGTCATCACTCGTGATTATCAGCAGCAGCAGCAGCAGCAGCAGGAGGAGGAGGAGGAGGAGGAGGAGGAGGAGGAGGAGGAGGAGCAGATCAATCACCATGTGCCGGTGGACAATGTACGTCGGGCCGGCCGTTGGGCTGGACGCCGTCCTCCTCAAGCCATCTCACTCTTCTATAGATATGGCGACAAAGCATTACATTCCCCAGATTCTCGACTCCAAAGCGGATCTGGTGGATGTGCTGCTGAATGCACGACGCAACCACGCCATCAACCTCGACGGATTCGGCATCGGCTGGTACCCGCTTGACTCCCACTCCTCCTCCTCTTCCGCCTCCTCGTCCTCGCCCTCCCAAGCGGCACCAGACTCTGAGGCGAAGGCGAGGGCGCCGCCAATGCTGTACAAGACAGTGAAGGCCGGCCCAGAAGACGATCGTCTCATGGAGTTGGCGCAGACGGTCAAGAGCGGCTGTTTCTTCGCGCACAGCCGCGCCAGCACAACCGGAGAGGTGATAGTGGAGAACTGCCATCCGTGGACGTACGGAAGGTTCATGTGGATGCACAATGGCGGGATCTCGCGATTCGCGGAGATCCGCCGTTTCATGCTGGCGGAGATGGGTGCAAGGTTCGCGGCGCAGATCCAGGGGCAGACGGACTCGGAGGCGGCTTTCTTCCTCTTCCTGCACTTCTTGGCGCAGGCGGCTCCGCAGGAGGGGGCCCGCGAAGAACGGCAACCTTGCGACGACGACGAGAGGGCTTTCATTGATCCGGAGATGGCGATCCGGCTTCCCAGCACGGCAGCGATGCTGGAGGCGGCTATGGAGCAGACAGTCCAGTTCATCGTGAAATCTGTCAATCTAGTTTGCCAGGAGGAGGGGGGGGAGCAAGAGACTGGCGGGCCTAATTGCACGTCGGAGGAGAAGAAGAAGAGGGGGGCCAAGCGGAGGGAGCGGTCCTCGTTGAACTTCGTGGTGACGGACGGGGCGAACGTGGTGGCGATCCGGTTCAGGGACTCGAGGGTCGAGCCGCCGCCATCGCTGTTCTACGCGCACGGCATCATGCATCCGCCGTCGAGCAAAGGCGGGTCGCTGGACTTCGTGCCGCCGGAGCCCGGTCGAGATGGTCTTCTGCGCGCAGCGATCGTGACCTCGGAGCCGTTAATCAATTTCGAGGACGACGCGCACCTTCAAGAGGACTGGCATCTCATCGAGGCTAACCACATGGTCATCATCGACGAACGAAGGGACCTCAAGATGCGGAAGCTGTGCATAGACTGCGCTGCACTGGTCGAGCACAAGGTGCGACGATGGGGGCGCAGGTCGAGAGCGGAGGGCACCGCCGACGTTATCATCAACAACGGTAATCTACACCCAGAGAGCGGCGGTGTGCGAGATGAAGCCGGCCACGCGGAACGGGAGGCTCTGTCTTCTCCGTCTTGCTCCTCTGAAGAGGAGGAAGAAGAAGACGCTGGGCACGGGCAGGAAGCGCCAGGGGAAGCAGCACAAGCTGCTGCCGATCTGCCCCAATCGTCGGACGCAGCAGCAGCAGAAGCATTGTCGACGGCAGAGGATGCGGTGAAGCTACTCGCCGGGACGTCCTTGGAAACCGCGATCCGGGTCTCTGCCATCGCGCCGCCGACTACCACAATTACCGCCGGGACCGTCTGAGCACCAGCGGCAAGGCCTGAGCTGGGTGATCGTCACCTTGCATGCGCCTGGGCTTGAACTGCCGCAACGCAAGGTGAGCATAGAGATTGCGTGCGAACTGGGTTAAGGCNGAGAGAGAGAGAGAGAGAGAGAGAGAGAGAGAGAGAGAGAGAGAGAGAGAGAGAGAGAGAGAGAGAGAGAGAGAGAGAGAGAGAGAGAGGTCTGCAACGGGCAACGGGCGTTGTCGGTTTGCCCGTTGTTGGAGAATAGGTGATTGACTGGTTCAGAGGACCAGAAACGCTGGCGGTCGCTGGGCCGAAAGTCGGACGACCACCCCAACCTCGCCGAGGTCGCAGGTTTGCGAGTGTCCTGAGATACATTATTCCATAGCAAGTTCAAGGTTAGTTTTTAAAGGGCGAGGGGCTTGAGATATGATCGTCGGCGGACTGAGCGGCCCTGAGCTCATGTAATTAACGATTGAAGTATTTTACTCATCTCATTTGCTTGCTGCAGTGGAGTTCGAACTCAATTTTGTATTTAATTTATAAACAGTTCATGAGTACGTGTAGCACTTCTTTCGGATGCTCGACCGACCAGTCCTTGAACAGTAGGGCGCCAACGACCGGCTCTTGGGTGTCACTTCACTGTGTAGTAATGGGTTGCGTCTCTGCGAGAGGGTAAAAACACCGACTGTGTTTATTTGCCCGATCGCTGGGAGCGCAGTGTCTTTGTGTTTGATCCGCTTTCGCCAACGAATGGCCGACTGACGGGGAGCGGGTAAACGGCGACCGGTCTCGATCGCGTGACAGACTGGTAGCTCGCTACCGGCGTGACCGTGACAGACTGGTAGCTCGGAAGGACCGTCCAACGGTAGAGCATGCATCAATTAGTGAGTCATCCATAGGGTCAGCAATCAATCGCGTGATAGTATAGATTATAATCGATTATTGAGTGAGTCCCTTATAATAGGGTCATCAATCAATCGATCGCTTATAGTACATTATAAGCGATTAGTGAGTCCCTTATAGTGTCATCCATCAATCGATTGCTTATAGTAGATTATAATCGATTCGTAGTGAGACCCTTATAGTGTCATCCATCAATCGATCGCTTATAGTCCATTTTCATCTCATGTTTCCCCAACTTCTGAATCATCAATCCAAGTACGACATCATCATCATCATCATCATCATCATCATCATCATCATCATCCAATTTTTCCACAGCTTCAGAATGCTTAACCGCCTCGTGATAGAGTACATCCTCGTGCAAATTTTCCACTGGCACTTCAATGTTCTGGTGGCAGTCTCAGCAGTCAGTACACTCGGCCATCTCATTACACTTAGACTTAGAGCTCACGATGGGATTTCAATGTTCTGAAGAAGGAAGGGTACAAGCTTGAACTGCTGGAAATGGAGCATACAATGCCATACAATGAGACTGCTGCTCGTTATGTCCTCTTTTAGTCTCGGACTCGAGAAGCAGCAAGATCGTTACTTTGAAATTCGCATCGCGTCATGCAAAACTTTTACTCTAGATGTTTTCTTCCACTTCGGAAGCACCAAGGTCGTTGCGTTTGCAGTCAGACTCTTCGATCCACTCGTGTATGGTCTTGCGAGCGTATCTCCGCCTGGTTTCCTCAGTCCAATCATTACAATGTTTACAATGTGACCACCTCATTAGGACAATTGCTGTTCTACCCCTCTCTCTCTCTCCTGGTCTCTCTCTCCTGGTCTCTCTCTCTCTCTCTCTCTCTCTCTCTCTCTCTCTCTCTCTCTCTCTCTTGTCTGTGCAGTGTGTTTATCGTAGGAATAAAGGGGGAGAGTCGGGCATTGAAAATGCATACCGGGTTGAAAGGCAGGGGCACGTAAATGAGGGTGTTCGGGAGCTTGTTCGGTTCCGGGGACCAGGAAAGCCAAGTCATGAGGGTCGGAGTAGCGTGGGTCAGTCGTAAGAAGGAGAGAATAGGCCCTCCCTCTTTTTTTAACAATGGAATGGAGCCTTTATGGAGGGAATAAATCTGAATGATGTGAGGATGATAACTCCTATTGATTGCCGACAAGAAAAGAGACCGCGAGCTCACGCCAGCTAAGCTGGGGCAAGAGACGAACGAAGCACCGTCAGTGCGCCAATGATGTGAGGATGATCACTCCTAGCTGCTTCTGTTTCTTTTCCTTTTTTTTGTTTTTTCCCTTTTTTTTTTTTTTTTTTTTTTTTGAAGAAGCATTAGCTTTTATTTCAAATTGAAGGAGGCCGGGCATTACTCACAAACAACCCGGAAGATATGAAACCAATACTATTAGCTCTAATTGGGCTGTTGCTTGAATACGGGTCCAGCGTCCCTTCCTTTCCCTGTTCTATCCTCATCTTCCAAAATCCCATTAAGGTCAAAGTATTTTCGTGTAGAAACAAGGTGAGCTTACCATTCTACTTGGGGCTAAAGCTCAGTCTGTGCCAACTGGCAGATCATTGCAGTGTGGGCCTGTGTGCCTCATCTATACTAAACTATTATAATAGAACCGTGGTCAGTTTCCTAAATAGGCAGTGTTGCTTTCTGTTACTTTCCTCCAGGATCCAAGTAAACGGCTGAGCCTTCAGGAACTAAAACTACCTAGTATAGGCGCAATGACCAGGAGCTGGGCAAGAAGAATAACCAGTAGGGTTTCCCTCTCATGGTCACTGTCCAAAACACTGTAAAGAGCCTTTGTTGCCTACTAGACGGGTTTCCCACCATGCACCCGATGGACCGGGTCTCTCGTATGGTCCAACCATTAGCGTTCCCACTGCTCCTTCATGGTAACTACTCTCTTATAATGACTACAATAGACTAGCGCTCCCGCCACTGACGATGGCACTCACACTGGCCCCGTAGTGATGCTGTTGGTAATCAAAATGTCACATCACAGTTCATATTCTTGCTGAGTGGAAGACCTACATTGTGTTTTCCAAAAACTTTTTTTATCAACCCCACAAACTACAACACTAAAATGCCACTCCCCAACAAACCGGACCAAATAAATACTCTTTAGGAACCAAAGACCGAGAGCTTGGGAGGAAGAATAAGCAGTAGGGTTACCCTCTCATCGTCACTGTCCAAGTCGCTGTAAAGAGCCTTTGTTTCCTACTAGACGGGTTTCCCACCACGCACCCAATGGATACAACTCTAGTTTGCTCTTCACCGGGTCTCTCATATCGTCCAACCATTAGTGTTCCCACTGCTCCTTCATGCTAACTACTCTTATAATGACTACAAAGAAAGCCAACTTGCCAAAAGGCAAAAATACCTAAAATAGACAAGGAGAAGAAATCACAGGTTTACTCCCATGCATTGCAGATAATGTCTGATAGCAAGAAGTAGGGGACCAACCCGAATTCTGGAAGATTGATTATTGGGGAAAGAAGTAAAGGTCTAGCCTATACGTGTAAGAGACTAGCCTAAGTATGTGTCCAGAAGCAGAGACACAACGATTGAATCTAGCCTACCTCGTTGGCTGGATACAAGGTTCAGGTTTTGAGCTCCAATCGGGTGGGAGACTAGCCTAAGTATGCGTCCAGAAGCAGAGACACAACGATTGAATCTAGCCTACCTCGTTGGCCGGATACAAGGCTCAGGTTTTGAGCTCCAATCTAACCCCTGCCTACCGAAAGTAACTATGAATTATTAAAGCCGTAAAACAGAGGTTATTCAGCGAATCCTGCCCAAAAACATGACCAGATACAGAGAGACTCGAAATTCAGAACTCCACCCAGAGTAGTTTGCTTTTGCGACATCCTGTAGGAAACCGATGAATCTGGCCTGATTGGGCCATCAGATGCAGAATAACTCAAATACAGAATAAACCACCTCATATATCATTAATTCGCATCAGCAGAAGACACGGTCACTTAAAACACAATCACCGTCACTTAAAACACAATCGCGAATTCTAACACGAGGTTGGAAAGTCAATTGATATTCTATATGCAAATAGGGAAGGAACAATACAGGAAGTTAAGAGATGATAACTAAGCTTGACTATACCATTGCAGTGAATATATCCTAGGTGCAGAGCTGAATACAGATGTCCGCTGAGACAGGTCGTAGTGTCCTTGGTATCCAGGTGGTGTCACATACACCCGCATCTTCTATTTCTCACGAAGTATCTACAAAAGAATCCTCGGAAATGTCGAAAAGCTCCCACCGCCTCCGCACCCTCCCCTACTGCATATGGTTGCGCCGAATCCACCTTTCAGGCTTCTTCCAGGAGTAGGATCCCTGTCTTCTTCAATGTATCTGGTCCACAAGTGGCGGTCAGTACATCCAGGATAAGGATAAAAGGATAGAACAAGTTCGAGTCTGGGGGCAGTCCAGATAGCAAGGTGAAGGTAAGTAAAGAGGAAAGTAACCACACGGCCATTGGATGGTGAGAAAGGAGCCCCCCGCCCTTTCCAGCTAAAGGCTTAAGGGGAGGACGGCTCCTCTAGTGTCGAGATCCTGTTGGGTATGAAGGTAGGCTATGTAACCGGGTGAACGCGCTGAACGTGCACGTTCAAACGCGCGCGTTCATACCCCCCGGGGCCGCGTTCAATGGCGTTCAAACGCAATGCACGCCACATGGCACGAAAGAATTGGGGGCCGGGAGCGCGCGTCGTGGACTACGGGTACGAGCCCCCAAAGTGCAAAAAAAAACCCTCCCAGTGGCCTACCCCCCTACCGCATCACCCCCCCGCCATATGTGAAATGTCCTATTTTTTTTCTTTGGGGCGGGAGGTGGGGGAATCCCCCTAACACGGCTCAGACGGCCGATGCAGGCGATCTGAAGAGTCCTCGCAGCCATGTAGCACAGACCCCCCCCACCAAAATCAAGGCAGGCAGTGAATATGAAGTAGAGCACGAGCTGGCCGAATATATACTCAAGATTCGAATTCAGGTCTGTGTTTCAGCAGTTATGGGTTGCTCACGTAGCTAGGGCCTGTTGGTCTCTACACGTGACTCTTAGGGCTTGGCTGTACAACTCACCAAATGTGCAAAACTAGAATGAATCTTCTGCAGAACATGGAATAATACACCGCCTAATCTCTGCACGTGACTCTTAGGGCTTGGCTGCACTACTCACCAAATGTGCAAAACTAGAATGAATCTTCTGCAGAACATGGAATAATACGCCGCCATATGTTTTGTCGTTTGTGCATGTGGTGAGTAGAGGCCCTTAGGGCCACTGCACGTATTCCTAAGAAAAGAAAAAAGAGAAAAAAAGAAAAGCAAGAAAAAAGAAAAATAAGAAAAAAGAAAAACAAGAAAAAAGAAAAACGAGAAATTTCTTGTTTTTATTTCTTAGGAATACGTGTAGTGGCCCTAAGGGCCTCTACTCACCACATGCACAAAAGACAAAACATATGGTGGCGTATTATTCCATGTTCTGCAGAAGATTCATTCTAGTTTTGCACAGTTGGTGAGTGGTGCAGCCAAGCCCTAAGAGTCACGTGCAGAGACCAACAGGCCCTAGCTACGTGAGCAACCCATAACTGCTGAAACACAGACCTGAATTTGAATCTTGAGTATATATTCGGCCAGCTCTTTCTCTACTTCATATTCACCACCTGCCTTGATTTCGGTGGGGGGGTCTGCGCTACATGGCTGCGTGGACCCTTCAGATAGCCTGGATGGGCCGTTTGAGCCGTGTTAGCGGGATTCACCCACCCCCTCGAAGAAAAAAAAAAAAGGACCTTTCACACACACACAGACATACACATTCACACACACACAGACATACAAATTCACAAACACACAGACACACAAATTCACACACACATTTTTTTTTATTTTCTTTTTTGCCCGTTTCGCCTGGGGCATTGGCCCACAGCCCCTGCAAGCACCGCCGCCGCTCCCCCCACTGCCCACAGGCCCCCCAAGCACCGCCGCCGCTCCCCAGCGCCCCCGATGGGGCTCCCGGGCATGGGTGGCGCTCTGCGCGTTCGCGTTCAGAGCGTGCACCCGCATTCTTTGAACGCGCGTTCAACGCGTTAAAAAACTGAACGAGGAACCCGCGTTCTCGGCAACACAGAAGATAGGTACAAAGGTCAAGTGCAGGGCTGCCAGAATGCCTTGGTGTAAGAGTGCAAAGGCACTCCCTAACCCACTCAAGGGCTAGGCTACACCATGGCACTATCGCCATAGCTCTCACACAGCTATGGTGTCTGGCAGGGTAGGCGCCTCGTGGGCAAGATTAGACCACATGCTCAAACGTTGCGTTTTACTCAGCCGCAGCCAACGACCGGGCACCGCCACCGCCACTATCGCCACTCCATCGTTAGCGCACTTTTTCATGTTTCCTTTTTTTTAGTTTCTCATGAGAAGGGTTAGTGCCTGCCCCCGCCGACTGTATTCCCCGCCGATGTTGTCACCTCCCTTGGATGGGCGTATCTTCGTCGAGCTAGCAGTCCACAGTACGAAAGCTAATCAGTTGCAATCGCAGAGATGCGCCAGCCGAGGGCGTTTCTCGTACGCTGTAGCATAGGGGGTACGCGAGGCTCTGCGCCTCTATCGAACCCGTA